TTAGTCTTCTAGATTCTTCTAGAAGGTTCTTTTCATTCCTAATTCAATTAGCATTGATAAATTGACTTTTGTTGACTTTTCAGAGTTTTAATTAAAATCAAAGAGCATTTTTGAGGAAAAATACGATTTTATCCTCTTGTACGGCAATTTTTATCTGATTTTAAGAAAATGCGTGAATTTCTGAATCAGCGGCAAACGCCAGTTGTAGCGCCTGGCGCTACGCTTGGCGCCTGGCGCTAGCATTGGCGCCTGGAGTTAATGATGGTGTCTGGCGCCAATAGCCAGCGTTGGCGCTAATTCGGTTTTATTTGCGCCAGAACTCTGTTTTTGATATTTTATACTTTTGGCTAATTTTCTTCATAAATAACGTCGTAAAAACTCCGTTTTCATTCACCAACTCTCATCAAGATTCTCTTGATTACTCTCTCTCTCTTTTTCTAAACTAGCTTATCTCAAATATAAAAATTCCGCATTAGATCTAGATACACCTAGCCATATTCGAAGTTGCCTTCGCCCTAGACGTGAAAGGTTTAATTTCTGAGGGTTTGAATTGGTCCCAAATCTCTCTTTCAATTATTTGACTTGAATATTGTTTTGTTTATTATTTTCCGTGAAGTTACTAACGTGTGTATTTTGTTATTAGAAAGAAGTATGAGGCATCAAAGTAAGTACTTTAATGGTTTATATTGATGTTATGATGTAGAAATCATGTTTAGGTTGTTATTATGATATTCCTAGTATCATGTCTAGGGTAACTTTAATATCAAGTGTGATTAAAAGTATGATGCTTCCTATGTTCTTCCTAATATTTATGGTTGTTAGTATCATGTTAGGGTTAAAGATTTGATTTTTATTGCTTAGTGACATGCTAGGGTTTGTTATTAATCTTGTTAGTATCATGCCTAGGATCTTGCTATTATTATTATGATTTAACATGATTATGTTAATTATGATTAATTTTATTATTTTGATTATAATTATAATTGTTATAATTTATGATCATGATTATTTTAATTATTATTTATTATGATTTATTGATTTATTATGTTGCTTGATTTTTATTGTTATTGCTTGATCACACCTTTTATGCATGTTTAAAGGGAATTTTATACTTGTAGTCACGCTTATATAAGATATTTAATAATCTTGTTTAGGGTTAATATGATTATAATTCAAGTGATCGCCAATAATAGATTTATTTGTGCATTAATATTCAACCAACATAGATAACAGGTTTAGGGTTAATCCTATTGATTGTATGTTAGTCAGAAAGCGCACAAGAATACGATTAGAATAAAGTAGAGGCCTATTATTAGGGCAGGTTCAATCTCTTTTAGGTTGGATTTGTACCTTCATCCCCGAACCCTATTTGGTTCAAGACCTTATGGAGTTGACGATCTCTTAGATCGTTAAGGGGTGTAACCTTCACCCTGTGAACGGTTTACAAGTTCCTAATAAAACTTGTTGGCGATTCTTTTGCTTTATCTTCTTTCCCTTTGGACGCCACTGTACTTTAGTGTATGATCACAGTGGGGTTCAAGCTAGGGGGTTAACGCTTGAAATATTCCCTACAGTTTTTAGTGACTCCACTGGGGAGGATTTCTATTTTAATTCCTGAATTTGTTTCGGCAATGATTTAGAATGAGTGGATAAGACTTGAAACGTTCTAAGTATTTCATGTGCTTAATTTTGATTAACATTATTGTCATATGCATAAAAAAGATCTCATTGGAAAGACCATCCGTAATGAGTAAAAAACATAGGATTTTACACGTAGGAAATTTGAGAAATATCTTTCACAACTAGGACCGAAATAACACTGCGCGAAGCTGGTAAATTTTATCGAGCACAGAAAGCTGTTGAGGCATGTAGGAATTAGCGTCAGCGACCAGAGTATTGGCGCCAGACATTTAACTGTAGCGCCAGATGACAGGCTTGTCGCCAGGCGCTACAGCTAAAACTTGGCGCCAATCTCCGATTGCTGGCGCAAAATTCTTCCAATACCGAGCAAGAAATATGCGTTCTAATTTCGACCAGTTTTTCGCATTGTTTGCTCGATCCTACTTCCTTATTGAGTTTTTCTCACTTTTCTGAAACCCATATGTGTTCTACATATGGACATAAACCTCTGGGAATTCATGCTCCATCTACCTGATTAAACACTCTGAGAAACAATGGGTACATCCGAGAATGTTGAACTCACCAAACCATGGAAGCGAGTTTTTCTAAAACTCGCGGTGTCCCATCCACACGCGCCAACCCTTCACGGTTAGGCTTCCGCGCGGTGCATCCGGACAATTAACCATGGACCCTCTATTGACTAAACCATATCCCGAACTTTAGAGAACTAGAGCCATGGTTAGGTTGCAAACTCATTGCATCATATTGTGCCTACTTGACTAATTGTGCATTATTTGTTGTGCATATACTCTGATTTCTTGACCGTTTGTTTGACTTGTGTTGAGATTTAATAAATTAATGACTTAAAGAACTTTTCCTAATTAATTAATTAATTAATTTGAGTCAATAAATTTTAATATTTTAATCAGAATTGACCTTGTACGACTTTAGGCATACCCATGTTGATTAATAACACCGAAAACAGTCCTAGATTGAAGCTCCAGCGTTGGCGCCAAAGTCTGGACTGTAGCGCCTCTCTGTGGAGTGTGGTGCCTGGCGACAACTCTGTCGTTTGGAGCTACACTACACAGTGCGACGCCAGTCCTGTCGTTTCGCCGACAGTTTGGATTATCGGTCGAGTCATCACCTAGTGTCTAATTAACCAGTTTGCTAATTAATTCGGTTAATTTTCACTGTCAATAGTATTTGGTTGAGTCATTAATTAAGTTTAGGCACTAAGTCCCATGGTCTTACACAAGAGTCCAAGCATGTCAGTTACACTCAACGCACACACCAATATACACACATTGACCATGTCTAAGAGAGTCTTGTATGCGCGTTTTTTTTTCCGTCATTTTTTTAGGGGGGTAAGTCGGATATTAATCCTCCATTTTTTCTAAAAAAAATATACTATACTTAGCTCTTAAAAATATACACATTATTTTTGCTTATTTTTTCCAAAAATATACACCCATTTTTTTTTCCTCTTTAAAAAAAAAAACCGTAAAGTCAAGTTGATTTGAGTCAAGTAATTAAAACGCAAAATGGTTTAAATTACAGCGCGTGGTCAAGAAAGGAAGGACGGTTAATCAAAGACAACCTTTTCGTACAAATCCAACTTTTCGAAAAACCCATAGCTCGTAAGAGGAAAGCTAAGACCATAATGGCAACACAAGAAGAAGTCAATGAGCTTAGGAACCAACTGGTTCCGTGACTGAGGCACTGAAGCTCCTCACACTTAAGATCGATGATCCCGTGAAAAAACAACAGATGGACCTCATGTAAGAGAGTCTAAGCAAGCTATCTAGCGACTACAAGTTTCAAGGGCTTACTTCACAAGGGGTCTCGGTGGACAAAGATCTTCTTCCGCAGAAGTTCAACGCCAACGACATCCCAAAATTCAGAGCAACTGACAACCCTTACTTTCATTTAAGAGCATTCGAAACAATAATGAGTATTAAGGGTATCGATAAGAAGGTTTTCCCCTCTCTGTTCTCACTATCTCTCGAGACCGTTTGCCAACAATGGTTCTTTTCTCTCGAGAAAGAAAAGACCTCTACTTGGGAGTCCACAACAAACGCTTTCGTTGATAGATACAAGTGCAACATTCAAGTTGAGACTGACCATAGAAAACTTGAAATCCTCAAGCAGAAAGAGAACGAAGGCTTTACCTCTTTCTTTAACAAATGGAGAGAAACCTCAGCTAAGATGATTGAGGTGCCAAGTGAAAAAGTGTCTGTAAGGTTTTTCATCAAAAACCTTTAAGAAAAATACTCCAAGCATCTCAAGTATCAAAACAATCTCCATACCTTCAAGGCCGTCTATGACATTGGGATCAATATTGAAGACGACCTGGCTAAGTTAAAAGCTGCCAACAATAACTCCAACAGCGGCTGGAAAGGAAAGAAGAACGACAATCCTTCTTCTTCCAAAACCACCCACTCAAACATCGTTAGCACTTTTAATTTAGGTGAAGTCCTTGATATGAACAATCAAGGACAAAAGAAACCATTTAGGAGAAACTTTACTCCTATTGGCATGAGTTATGACACCGCATTTGATCGATTAAATGAAAAAGGTCTTATAACTCCTATTGGACCATCTGGGGACCCAGCAGTCGAAAAGAGGTCGGCTAATTGGAACCCCAATGCACATTGCAAGTACCATCAAGGTAGGGGCCATCTCACCGAAAACTGTTGAAAGCTTAAGGAAGCTATCCAAGACTTAATCGATAACAACAAACTACCATTGCCCCCTGCCAGTAAGAAGCCAAGCATTGATAATGCGCCTCTCGCTCATGCTTTGGCTATTTCTGATGAGGAAAATGAGGTTGACCGCTCGTCTCTCATTAAACCTATCAAAGAAATCCATGCCATTGAAGAAGACGAGAAGATATTCTTCGACGCCATGGATAGCCTTCCAGAACCGGCAAGTAAAGAAGACATAAAATCGCTCACACTGTCTATGATGGAAGGGTCGCATTTGCTACGTGAAACTCTCAAAGCTATAACGGAACTTCAAAAGAAATATGACGAGGTTCCACCCTCGAAAAGTAAATCCAAGCACTAGTAGAAAAAAAGCATTAGGCACCGGTTCAAACCCGGCCTAAGGCACCGGTTTGAACCGGTGCCAATTTGGGGGGTGCCAAAAACCCAATTTTTAGCACCGGTTCAAAACTGGTGCCATAGGGTCAAATAGGCACTGGTTAACTGGTGCCATAACTTCTGTTTTTTTTTTTTTTTGGGAATTAAAGTCAATTGGCACCGGTTTCATGTATTTTTTTTTAGTTTTCTTTATCCACATACACACATAATATTTTATCCACTTAAATGAAATGAATATTGATCAAAATTGATCATTAAATAAGAAATATAATCAGAAACATATAACAAGCTTGAATAATACGAAATATATTGATGATTAAATTGTTATTTTACAATACAAAAAAATAAAATAAATTATAACATCAAAATCTAGAAAAAAAAACATTATAACATGAAAGAAAAAAAAAATTACACATCAAAGAATAAAAAAACTACAACATTGAAATCAAAATTCCAAAAGCAACACCTTGATTCTTCACCTGCATCAATTAAAACACCGACATTAATAAACTCACTGTAAACTAAAATTACGAAAAATAAGATTCAAACCCAGAAAAAAATTGAAATTCAAACCCAGAAAAAAATTAAGATTCAAACCTAGAAAAAAAAATTAAGATTCAAACCAAGAAAAAAAAATTGAAATCGCAAAAAAATTAAATCGAAAAAAAATTAAATCAAAAAATGCCCAGAAATGGAAAAAAACCCAGATAAAAAATAAAAATTAAAAAACCTAGAAATCGAAAAACAAAAAAACAAAATTGAAAACAAAATATATTAAAATCGAATAAACAAAAACAAAAATCGAAAAAAAATTCAAAATCAAACATAAGAAAAAACAATTAGAGAAATCGAAAAATAAAATATCAAAATCGAAAACAAAACATATTAAAATCGAATAAACAAAAATCGAAAAAAAAAATCAAAATTGAAAACGGAAAAAAAATAACCCAGAAATCGAAAAACAAAAAATTAAAATCGAAAACAAAATGTATTACAATCAAAATCGAAAACAAAATGTATTAAAATAAAAATCGAAAAAAATAAATCAAAATCAAACCGGTTCGTGGTGTTGCATGTGCTCGTGGTGGTTTCCGTGGTGGTGTTCGTGGTGGTCTTCGTGGTGGGCTTGAAGGAGAAGGAAAAGGAGACGTGGTAGCGAAAGGGAAGGAGGAGGAGATGAGAAAGGGAAGGAGGAGATGAGAAAATCTGGTGAATGATGAGCGAAAGAGGAGGAGATGAGTGGTGAATGATGAGCGAAAGAGGAGGAGAAGAGGAGAGAGAAAGAGAAGGAGAGAAGAGGAGGGAGAAGCGGCGAGATGAGTGTAGGGTTTGGGGGGGGTTTATATATGGGAGATTTTTTTTTTTTAATTATAATAATGCTGAACCGGTTTTTTTATTAATTGAGGAGCGGTTTTGGGCACCAGGCCAAACCAGTGCCTTTTCTCTTCTTCTAAAATCCCGCCCATTTCTGGACCGGTTTTGGGCACCAGTTTAGCCTGAACCGGTGCCATATGGGGGGTGCCTAATGCTTTTTTTCTACTAGTGAAGAGATAATTTACACCCATGGGAATGACCTATGATGCTACTTTTGATCATCTCTATGATTAAGGACTAATCAAACCTATTGGTCCTACAGAGGATCCAACACCAGAAGAGCGATCTCTAAGGTGGGATCCCAGATCCTACTGCAAGTACCATCAAGGAAACGGTCATACCACAAATGAATGCTACAGGTTTCAAAACCTCATTCAAGATCTTGTGGAATCCAATAAGATCTCATTACCTCTAGCTAGCAAGGGAACGAATTATGAGGCAAAGCGTTTTCCTTTACAAGTCACTGAAAAACCCAAGAAGAGTAACATAATTTACACTCCAATTTGGATCCCATATGCACAAATGTTCGAAATGCTCTCCGAGAGTGGCGAGATCAAACCTCTTGAACCGAGACCATTCGAATCATTGAAAAGGACAGATAGATATTACTATCAGTATCATCAATCAGGGGGTCACACTATCGAAAACTGTTTCAAATTCAAGGATTTAGTTCAGAAAATGATTGATGAAAAGAAACTAGTCCAAGTTCCACAAGAAGACGATGCAACCATTAATGGAGTTTGGGATAGTGATGAAGAAGATTTCTACTTAAAATATATAGTAGGGTCTCCACCGTCTGTGTCATACGCCATGGATGACTTTTGGGCTAAAGAAGACTCATCGATAGACGTCCTCACAAGATCCGGGAGAATGCAACCTCCCGTTTCAACACAACCTATGCCGACCACACAACAAGTTCCCATACCTATCATTGAAGACAATGATATCGTTAAGCAGTTTAAGAAGACAAAAGTTGAGATGAACGTATGGAAACTTTTGGCATCATCTCGAGAACATAGGTTGGCTGTAATGAATGCCTTGGACAAAATAGGATAGATTCTGACACTACTCCTGAGGGGTTAGCCAACTTCCTCACAAGTGATCTTCCTAGTCCAATCAATTTGATCACCTTTTCTGACAAGGATTTACCTCCAGAAGGTGACAAACATTACAAGGCATTAAACCTCACAGTAGTTTGCAAGAGAATGAATGTCCCTATGACTCTTGTAGACAATGGATCGGCCATCAACGTCTGTCCACTTAGAACTGCGAGGATGCTAGGCATAAGGGATGAAGATTTAACTCCATCTACACAAGGAATAAGGGCCTACGACAACACTCGTCGTCAAGCTCTTGGTAAAATTACCGTGAACGTAACGGCAGGAGCAATAGAACATGCTACTACTTTCTAAGTAGTAGACATTAAAGCTTCATTCAATTTGCTGTTGGGGCGCCCTTGGCTTCATGACCTAAAGGCCGTTCCCTCATTTCTCCACCAACAAGTAAAAGCTATAGTTGGGGGAATTCCTATCACCATCGATGCTTCACCTATGAGGATCAATTCCATAGAAAACCCAATAATTAATGTGGAGCACGACGAGGATGATGAAGATCTATGGGGCTTTAACGAAGAAGTCTCCTTAATCCAGGAGGATGAAAGGACCCCTCTTTGCCATGACCCCCATTCCAACATGATTGTAAATGCTATTCTAAAAAAACAAGGACATTTTCCTGGGATGACCCTAGGAAAGAAGAAAGGAATAGCAAAATCGCTGGAGTCACCTAGCCTCCCAAAGTTAGACACTTTTGGACTTTGTTTTGATCCGACTCGGAAAGATCTCAAGCGAGCCCAGGAAAAATCAAAGGCACGTAGAGACACTCGCACTCAAAAGAAAGCAATCTCAATGGATCATTACCCTCTTATACTTAATGGTCAATTTATAAAAGAGGGAGAGGACTATCCATGCCATGAATTTCCCAAGCCATTTTTGTAAACGGCATAAGGTAACCGGGATTTGAGATTTTCTTGGATTGTTACTTCTTAGATGAAATCCCAACTCCTGTCCATAAGGAGAAAACACCCCCATGCTTTGACTAACGTCATGGGATTACTATTTGGGCGAGAAAAGAATGAGCCAACTTGCAGAGAAGATAACTCCTTGCTCATTCAAACATTCTTACAAAGCGAAAGCTTCGATCCCTCGAAGCTAATCACTCCAGCTGAAGGATCACTACAAGGGTGGCGCGAGACTATCAAGGTGACTACTCCAAGTGGAAGAAAAATATCCATCACGACAGGGCAAGGACCAATGTTTGAAGAGTCTTCAGAGTCAGAGTCTGAGTGGAGTCTCTCCCTATAGAGTCTTCTAGGTCTTTAGTAGTAGCACCTCCTCCCTCTATTTCTTTTCCTAGAGTAGTTAGTGATCAAGTCCCTGAGGACATATCACTCTTTGATGTAATGATCTCAGAGTATAATAATATTTCTCCTTCTCCTTATTTCTTGTGTTCTTCTCTAACCAGAGATGACGAGCATTGCTTAACTAACGATAAAAAAAATAAAGAAATTATTAAAGCAATGGAAACACTCGAAAAGAAAACACCGGTAATTGAAGAAACTGAAATGGTTGATATCTCAAATGATTCAATCAATAAAAGAGAAGTTAAAATCGGACTAACACTTAACGAACAAGAAAGAACCGATTTAATTAACTTACTTAAATAATTTATCGATGTATTCGCTTGGTCATACAAAGATATGCCAGGCATTAATAGAGAAATAGCTCAACACACTATACCACTAATTCCAGGAATGAAACCCGTAAAACAAAAGTTACGTCGAATGAAACCCGACGTAGTTCTTAAAATAAAAGAAGAAGTCCCAAAACAAATAACTGCAGGTTTCATCAAGGTATCCAAATACCCCTAATGGGTCGCCAACGTCGTCCCAGTTCCGAAAAAAGACGGAAGGGTAAGAATGTGTGTCGACTATCGAGATCTAAATAAGGCAAGTCCAAAGGAAGACTTCCCTTTACCACACATCGATATTCTGGTAGATAACACGACAAATCACGCACTTCTCTCATTCATGGATGGGTACGCAGGTTACAACCAGATTCTCATGGCAGAAGAAGACATGGAGAAAACAACTTTCATAACACCATGGGGCACTTACAGCTACACGGTAATGCCATTCGGGTTGAAAAACGCGGGTGCTACTTACCAACGTTTAGCAACTGCCTTACTCCATGACATGATGCATAAAGAAGTCGAAGTATATGTCGACGACATGATTGTAAACTCAAAAGACCGCCTAGGCCATCAAGTAGCCTTAAGAAAATTTTTAAAATATAATATGAGGTTGAACCCATCTAAGTGTGCTTTTGGAGTCACCTCAGGCAAGCTTTTGGGTTATGTCATAAGCTCTAGAGGAATAGAGATAGACCCAACCAAAATCAAAGCTATCATGTCGATGCCACCGCCCAAAACCGAGAAACAGAGTCGAGGATTTATTGGCAGGTTGCAATACATAAGTAGGTTCATATCAAAATTGACGACAATATGTGAACCAATCTTCAAAAATCTTAAAAAGAATGTACCAGTGATATGTGATGACGAGTGTCAAAAAGCCTTTGAAAAGATCAAAGCCTATCTCGCAAATCCTCCCGTATTAGCACCAGCACTTCCCGGAATACCTCTTAGGTTATATTTGATGGTTACCAAGCTATGCTAGCACAAGAAGTAGAAGGCATAGAAAACGCAATCTACTATCTAAGAAAAAAGATGCTCGAATACGAAACACGCTATACACCACTTGAGAAGTTGTGTCTCGCCTTGGTGTGGGCCACAACCAAGTTAAGACATTACATGCTAGTGCATACTGTCTTCTATTCTCCCGATTAGATCCACTCAAGTATCTATTCGAGAAATCTGCACTCAATGGACTCATATCGAGATGGATAGTCAATTTAGCCCAGTTTGATGTAAGGTTTATGCCGCAAAAAGCTATCAAAGGATATGTGGTGTCAGACTTTCTAGCAGACTTTCCAATAGAAGACTCGACGCCAATACAAGACAAAGAATTTCATTATGAAGACTTGATGGTCACTAAAGATAATACCTGGACCTTGTACTTCGACGGAGCCTCAAACCAAAAGGGATGTGGCGTTGGAGTATTACTAGTATCACCTAAAGAAGAGCATGTTCCAATCTCCATAAAGCTTGATTTCGACGTTACCAACAATGCTGCTAATTATGAAGCATGCGTGGTAAGCCTTGAAACAGCCTTGGAATTGGGAGTAAAAAAGTTAAGGATATTTGGAGACTTTTCTTTGATAATCAATCAAATGTCTAAAAGGTGGAAAGTAAGGAGCGAAAGTCTAGCCCCTTACCAAACCTATCTGGAAACTCTTATCGATCAGTTAGAGAAGGTAGAATACACATACCTACCTAGGGAAGAAAATCAAATTGCTGATGCCTTGGCAAGACTAGCCTCAATGGTTAGGATTCCCACGGAAATCGAGCAAATGCCTCTAACTATAGAGAAAAGGCACAAACCAGCATACATCTAGGCTATAGAAGACGACGAAGTAGTCCAAGACGAAGAAGGAGAAGAAGAAGAAGAACCATGGTACACGGATATACTCAATTATGTCACCAAAGGAGAATACCCTCCCCACGCTGACAAAAGAGCAAAACGAGCATTAAGACTCTTGGCTTCCCAATATGTACTCATAGACAACGAGCTACACAAAAGGGTACCTAAGGTTCGAGCTCTCTTATGTGTAGGAAAAAAGGATGCACAAAGAGCA